AAGGATTGAAAGAGACATGTCTAAGGCTTAATAAAATCTTGAAGCCTACCAAGAACGAATGGCTCAAGATCATTATAAGCTAGTTTATCCTGGAACATTCACGTATGGGAATTGGTTTTGGTCCTCAAAATATCAGTTCAACTTATCAAAAGATTGTAAAGTTGAACCAACATAGGAAGACTCATTTGCAATAGAAAAAGTATATCATAGAAGTTCTTATCAATTAATAGATTGTAAGAGTGAACATCCAATATTTCCCTTTAATGGAAGTTACATAGGGAAATAATATGCATAGCATTGTATAGGGGTGTTCCAATGAAAGAAATTCACTATTGAAACCCTATTGGGAGTATATTGAATACAAAATCTCTGTGTTTTTTTTAAGAAAATATGAATTACTAATATTTTGAATTTAAGATTTGATTTAAATGAAATTGCACTCACTCAAACTTCATTGAACTCGCCTAAATTTTTAAAAATTTTAGAACACAACACTTTTTTGACACAACTGAGAATTTACCCAAAACTCTGGCTTATGAAATATATCCTTCAAAACCATAACATACCTTGAGCTGTTAATTGGATGGGGCACACACCTCTAAACAATAGAATCTAAGTACCATCATAGAGCTCAATGAATTGATCTATTTGCAGTTTTGAATTATCAAATTTTATGAACACGACTTTAAATTCAATTAAAAAGTTATTAAATGCATGACTTCGGCCTTACAAAAAATAGGATTTGATGTTAGATTTAGGGTTTTGAATCCAAAGATCATGATGGCATCATCATACCAGATATCTTTTAAAAAAAAGAGACCTCACACACACTCACTTCCTTTTGCAAGGCCTTGCCCACAATTTGATTGGAAGTCCATGACACCTAAGAACCCCATTAAATGCACTCAATTCTAGCCTTCCCAATGCAAGCCATTCCCAAACCTAACAATAATTTGTTGCCTACATTTATCTAATCACTATCATATGGTTGTCAATCATTTTAATGTGTTCTTTGACTAAATGAAGGATAGCCACGATGATGTTCCGAATTTATTGTTTGGCATGTTGACAGAAATCCCATTTTATTTAATTTTAAAATATTAAAATATAAATAGAAGAAATTGCATTAATTCAATTAAAATAAACAACATTTTTTATACAATAATCATAATATTTTTAATAAATTTCTAAGTTGAATTAGTTACATAATTTAATGAATTTAATGAATTTTAAAAAGTTTGAAAACATTTTCTTAAAATATGAAAATTCATTTTTTTTCCCCAGAAGTTACACTGCGCATTTCATTAATACATTTTAGAAATTTAATGTATATTTAAAAATATATAAATAAAAAATATATTTAAATAATTTCTTAAAAACATAGAATGATAGAGTACATTTTAATTCATTTCCATTTGATTTAGCTTTAAAATCTATGAAGTAAACCTGGATTTATGGAATAAAATAAATTATTGTAAATGAATTACATTAAAATTGTTTTTACATGTTCTATTAATTTTTTAAAAGTATTTAAATTTAGCTCGAAGATCTTTAATTACTTGAAAATTGATTTGATTTTTAGCTCGGATCGTAATAAACAAGCCAAGCTATGAGCCAAATTTGGGTTGATTTTCAAGCCGATTTCGAGCCGTACAAGGATCGGCTCGACTTGGCTCGAGATCAACTCGATCGGCACGAAGTATTGTTATGTAGAAAAATATATATAATGCTAAATAAAATCAAATGTAATGAGCTAGGAGTAAATTTCAAGCTGGAATGGATCAAAATAACTCACTTTGAGTCATCTTGTTTTGATTTCGAGCTTGATCGAGCCGATTTCAAGTTGGAACGGGCACAAATAACTCAAAATTGAGCCTGCTAGTTTCAATGTAGATAATTCATAAATTAAATATTGTTACATTTCTTTTAATTAAAAAACTTTGATTCTAATCAATATAATGAAAAAATGGATTAAAATTTACATAATATTCAAAATTAGCTAAATTTTAGCATTATTGAAAATATGATCGCTAGCAAACTTAACACCATGCCCATATATCCCAATAAACATCATATATCAATAATGTAGGAGCAATTTCTAATCTCATAGAAGGGAATATGGAAGAAGACTATGATTTGATAAATCAGAGTGCACTAAAACATTGAAATACTCAATAATAGTGCACACTTCATCCACTTTTAGTATTAAATCTATGCATCCCTAAGTTGGTGATGTTTTATGGCAACTTCATATCAATTTTTTGGTCGGTCGAAAAAAATACTTGCATAATCATTATTATTTTATTTGAGTTTCAAAGTTTTGGAGTGATATATTAACATCTTAGTGTCGTACGTATATTTGACCCATAAATAGCTGAAAGACAAACTATCAAAGAAGACATTAAGCTGGTCTTTTTATGTGGAAAACCAAAAGGCAAAAAACTATGGGGTCTGATCTAATTGATGATTCATTCATGTTAATATAAGTTAAAAAGGCTTTGTTGGCCCATAAACAAGAGAAAATCTTGATATTACATAATTTAGGGTTATCAACCAGACATTCACTAGAATAGTGGTAGAAAATATTAGAAAACTAGCAGTGACTCGATTGCTGTGATTGAAGATGGATGAAAGGGGCATTGTGACATAAATCGGATGCGAGTTTCACCGTGTGCAGCGATGGTTGGGCAATAAATGTCCAATGGCGGTTGGGCGATAGTGGTTCGAAGATGACAGTGATGATCCAACAATCGCGATGGTGATGACAACGATTTACCAATGTTAGTCTGATGATAGTGTTGGTGGTCCGATGACTGTTGTAGTTGGACAACTGTGGTTTGGTGGTGTCTGCGGCTGAGCAATGGCGGCTTGATTGTTGCGGTGGTGGTTCAATGGTGGCGATTGAGTTATAATGGTACAACATCAACGACAGTGGAGTATTGAAGATGGTGCATGGATAATGGTGGTCCGATGATGGATGCGATCGTGCAACAATGGTAGCTTGACAACTGTGGTTTGGCAATGAACAATGGTAAGCTCAAGAATTCTCATGAGCTTGGATTTCCCTTCAACCTTCTCATATAAGTCCAAGTCGCCTTCATGAAGAAAATGGGAGTCTATTTACATGTTTTGAGAGTGAGATGATTTCTTTGATCGAATGATATTTTATGACTACTTAACCTTCTCAGATTTGGAGATCATTTGGTCCCCCCCCGAGTATGTATCAAAGCTTATTACTTTGTTTTAAGTGTATGATCTGTGTTCACAGGTACTCATATTAGATCATTTAATTTATCTCACAAAGACATTTCATTCAAATTTGTGCATAGGTTATGCTTAATTTAATATTTTGAGCTCCTAGTCTCAATGTGAGTTGAGTTTCATGTCAATAGAGAGTATTTTTGAAAATTATTATATTACTAAAATAACTAAAATGATATTAATAATCAATTAGATTGTAGCAAACTAAATACTAACAAAAAAAAAATCAATTAATTATTCTAGCTAGTAATATTTTAAGTATAATATTACTTGGCAAAATAAATCATACTTCTACGAAGAAAACAATGTATTAATGAATTGAGCTGTTGAGAAGACTCTTTTTGTGTTTATTCAATTAATGAGCTATATTTTCCTGCGAGGAACTGGTAGTACCTTAGCCACCAAGTCACTTAGGTCAATACAAAGAAAAAACTGGCATCAATTAATTTTGTTTGGTCATGGGACCTTAGAGACTAAGGGTCCGTTCAGGATAGTTTATTCGGTGCGGTGATGTTTTGAAAATGCACCTCACCTGTTTGGGTAAACTGCGTTTTGACAGCTTATGCATTTTCAAAACGGTGAAAACAATGTTTTCACACCGCATCTGTCTAGATGCGGCGGCAACTTTCTGGTAGCGGTCAGACTTTTTCAAAAAAATAGAAATTTATAATAGTCACCGCACCTAGCTTATCAACAGATTATTTTTAATCAGTTTATCAGCTTATCAGCAGATTATTCAATAAGCTGCAGCTGCTCTGTGCTTACCTTTCTGGGGAAAAAAATATTCTGAATCATTTATATGCATATCCCACAAATTTTTATAACTTTACATTTAATATCTAAAATTAGATATTTATATAAATAATACTCAAATACTTAAATATTATATTAAAAATATCACTATGATAAATTCTTTAGTATTTAAATACACATTTTCATGCATATTTAAAATATTAGATATTTATATTTAAAGTTTAAAGTATTAGATATGTAAATATATAAGAATTGCGTGATATGTACATAAATTTTCTTTTATTTTAGGGTGATTTATATGCATACCAGTCCATTCCTATATATTTACATTGTAATATGTAAACTTCAATTTTCTTGCATTCATGCCCTCTTAACTACTAATGAAAATTTATATTTCACTTTTTAAATTTTAAAATAGGGATATTTTAATATAATTTAAAATTAAAATAGTGATATTTTTATTGATGTAAAATATTTTGGGGTTATAAATATAAAATGTAAAACGGATGTGTTTGGATATATAAAGGGTCTAAACCGAAATCAGTTGGATTTAATTTTCTCTTTTTTTAGTCATTCACTAGATTTAGATTAAATTAATAGCTAAATTCCATTAAAAATGTGATTCCAAAAGTCCAAGAATTAAAATCAGGCCAAAAGGGTCTAAACCGGAATCAGTTGGATTTAATTTTCTCTTTTTTTAGTCATTCGCTAGATTTAGATTAAATTAATAGCTAAATTTTATTAAAAATGTGATTCCAAAGGTCCACTCATGTTAGAATTAAAATCAGGCCCAACTGATTCCGGTTTAGACCGTGTCCATGACTCGATTATCCATTTCGCGGTCCTGAAAAAATGCAGGGTCGTATTCGAACATTCGAACCCGACCGGTTACGGTCCGAGTGAGTAAAAGCCGTGCGTTAAATGGCACGTAGACGGCGCCTTTTATACGTTAACGCCGTCACGTCTGCTTTTATATTCTCCAGTCCTTCATTATTCAACATTCAAATCGAAAGCTCGGATCGAGAGAAGTGGAGGTGAGGCTCATCGGAGATTTGTTAGATTTAGGGTTCCGGCGATGGCGGAGCGCTCGGATGAAACGCTGTTGGATAAGATAACCGAGAAGATCCACGCAGTTCATGACTCCTCGTCGTCCGATTCCGATGATGAAAAAAACAAGCCATCGGATTCGTCGCTTAAGCCCAACATCTACCGTCTTTTTGGCAGGGAGAAGCCGGTACACCAGGTCCTTGGTGGTGGAAAGTGTACGAATCTTTGATCTTCTCTTTTTTCCTTTTTTTTTTAACTTGTTGCTTTGTAATGGTTTATGGTTTTCTGGCTTTTGGCTTTGATGAAGTATAAATCAGTAGATCGGATACGATGGGTGGGATTTGGGTGTGTCTCTAATTTTGGTATTTTTAGGGCTCATGTGAACTGAGATCCGTGGATGCTTTGGTAGCGGCCAGTTGCTTCGTCTAACTGTTATTTGATTGCTTCAATAGTGTAAAATAGTAGTACTTGGAAGTTTAGGGTTTTGATTGCTTCTTGAAATATGCAAATAGGTCAACATCATACGGTTTTCGGTAAAAAAGGGTTGTTTGTGTGGTTTGCATCCTTCGATCTGTGGATTATTGTTATTTGCTTACTTGGGGAATAGTTGGGCCATTTAGTTTTTAAATGGAGAATTAATGGAGAGATTTCTTTCTCTCTCTCGTAAAAACAGATAATGCTATGACATTTTTTTTTTTTTTTTTTGCGCGAAAATCTGTTGTAAGACAAAGTGGAACGCTTCATCATATTCTCTGCCTAGATCAACCATCCCAACAGTGAGAATTGAAGGTTTTTTAAACGGATTCATGTTTATTTATCTGTAAAGATTTTCTCTGGTTACTATCACCAATAAAAGGTGTTAGCTTTTCCCTTCTTTTGTTATCTGCTTTCAATGAGCAGGAATTATGTGACTATTGGTGTTCCTGATATTTTGATTCTGATATATTTGAGTTTATCTTTGTTCTTTAGCTATGCATAGTCTCATGAATGGGTCTCATTGTGGTTTTCACATTATAGATTAGCGGTGATGTTCGTATAAATTTAATTCATTTATTATAAATTTTCATCAGCTGCGGATTTGTTTCTCTGGAGGAATAAGAAGGCATCAGCTGCAGTTTTAGGCGGGGCTACTGCCATATGGGTTCTTTTTGAATTGATGGAATACCATCTTCTCACGCTGGTCGGCCATATTCTCATACTTACATTGGCGATCCTGTTTCTCTGGTCTAATGCAGCCTCGTTTATCAACAAGTAATTTGTGCCATGCCTAATGTTTTGTTTATTCCTATGAATTTATTTGGGACATTTACATACATTCCACTCAATTCCTATGAATTTACGTATTTAACACGTAAAATTTTGTTTTTTTTACATTTCTACAACCCGAATATTTCATTTCACATATAAAAGACCATCATTTTGAATTTTTTTAAAAAAAGTAAAATACATCTTTTCATTCATATCTAACAGTTTGTATGTCAAAATTAAAGTTTAGGTGTTAGATATGCAAATAATATATTTCTTTGAAATCTTCCTAATTTATTTATGAGCTGAGCACAATGAAAACTATTTATTACCATCATTCTTTCAGATCTCCTCCAAACATTCCTCATGTGAGCATTCCCGAAGATCTGGCTGTGAACATTGCGCTTTCTCTAAGGTTTGAGATCAACCGTTCTATTGCTGCTTTGAGGGAGATTGCTTCAGGGAGAGATTTGAAGAAGTTTCTTGCCGTAAGTTCTTTATTTCTATGAATTCTGTATGTTTTTTCGCCTTCTACTTGTTACTAAACGCTGCATCCTGTATCATTCAGGTGATTGCTGGCCTTTGGGTTGTCTCTATTCTTGGAAGCTACTTGAATTTCCTCTCCCTGTTTTACCTTGGTGAGTTTCTGCTGTACTACATTAATGTGTTTATCAAAACTAATTTGAGCAATTGTTGCTATAATATTGTTACATTTTGAAAAATGCAGTGTTTGTTCTTCTGCATACGGTGCCTATTGTGTATGAGAAATATGAGGACAAAATAGACTCCTTTGGTGAGAAGGCAGTGGCAGAAATTAAAAAGCAGTATGCAGTATTTGATGCCAAGGTTTTGAGTAAAGTGTCGAAGGGCCTATCGAAGGATAAGAAGCATTAGAAAGGTGAGGAATGATTTTGTTGCTGGACTGTATCTGTGAGTTAGATGACTTTTCCTTGTGCTATATGGTTTTAAGACTGCATTAATTGATGTTTAGTTATAGAATTTGCCGTTTTTTTTCTTGCTTCTTTATTTTATTTTCTTTTGGTTATAAATGCTTGTGTATTATTTGTTGATGATGGTGAGTTTTTTTTTTTATTTTTAAGATCATCTCTATTAGTTATATTGTTACTTGTTCTATTGGTAGAACATACTACTGAATTATGTGTGGTGATGATTTTTCTGTTAGGCTTATTGCATTCTTCCCCTTTTGGGAAGCTAACTTTGGGAAGGTGTCAAGATCTCATGATGTTATTATGTTTAAATTTACTCGTAGCCATTGCAAATTAAAGATGAAAATTAAAAAGTAATTTTCTTGGATGAATATATTTAATATAGGCGGGTGAGATATTTTGATAAATTTTTTAAAGTAGTTTTTGAAAGTATCATTAATAATAATAAAAATTTTAATTTTTACTACTGCATTAGTAAAAGGGAAAAATGAATAGGTTTTAAAGAAAATTAAGGATAAAAAATTAGTAATGCCTTGTGGTATTTTTATACGAAGTGTGAAAGTATTTAAGAGATTTGAGAATTTTTTTACTTATTAATAATCTTTTTATTATTATTTTTTTTTTTTTTTTTTTGAGAAAAAGAGATTCCTGAAGAGTATAGGAAGAGTATTTTGTTCTATATTTTTAAGAAAAAAAAGGGGATGAACAACAACGAAAGTTATAGAGGAATTAATTTAATGTGTCATATTTTAAATTCGTGGGAGAGAAATATAACTTATCGTAAGATGTGCTGTAAAGATTTCTCTTAATTGATTTGATATTTGATAGACAAGTTCACATTTATTGAGAATGATAGAAAAGTATAGAGAGAACAAGAAGGATTTGCATATAATTTTTATTTTTTATGGAAAGAAAACTTATGATAGATTTTCAAGAGACGTTCTTTGGAGAATTTTAGAAAAGAAAAATGTTGATAAGACTTATTTAAATCATTGAAGATGTCTACTATGACGGTTCTTACTTGTGTTGAGCAAGAGGATTGACCTAGTGTTCTTCTATTTCAGTTGGATTACATCAGGGATTGGCTTTAAGCCCGAATCCTTTTGCTTTAGTTATGAATGCTCTTACTGGACATATGCAGGAGGATGTACTGTCTTAGTGTATGTCTCTTGTTGATCATCTCTTTCTTGTGAATAAGATTATTTGCAGGCTCCATATGCAATATTTTTTAACATTTTTGTATAATATATGTATAACATTGTTGTACGCAGATAAGAGTCCGCGTGTAATAATTTTTTCTTCACAAGCTGCTAATCTTGTAAATTTTTTTAAATAATTTTTTTCTTAATTTTAACTTTTATAAGAAAAAATGCAGCCGTTCCAAGCAAACACTTGAAGACTTACTTTAATTAAAATTTTGATTCGAATATTGACATTTACGATTGATTGAGGTAATAAGGATTATTTTCGGAGATTTTTCTTGCATGCCACCCAATCTTTAACTATATATATATATATATTACACTTAGAACTTTGCTTTGTATATTTATACAATCTATATCTCTCATATTACATAGAAAATATCATCATTTTAAATTTTATTGAGTGAAACACACATGGATAAGATGATATATATATATATATATATATATATA